GGTTTCCTAGGCACCCACGTCTTCTCTAGCGGCATTTGGATAGCCTCTGCCGCTTCGAAAATATTTAGCACAGTGTGCTTTTGTGAAACGATCTGACTGGATTTATTACGGCAACATTCAAAGAAAACTTTTTTTGAATTGTCAACATTCCGCTAGAAAGTGTGACTATTGAATGATAATCAATCTGAGAACTGAGTTGGCAAGTTGATTACCGTAAGGAAGAGTTGCGGATCGAGACCAGGTGCACTCGCGCTGATAGTCAGTGGTGAATCATTGATGATTTTGACGGGACCGTTACGACTGGATGCTCTAATTAGTTTATCGTTGTCTGTGAATACACTGAATCGATTACGATCGTTGATGATTTCATCCGCATTCCTTTCGGATGCTGGATTGATTCCACTCCCAAAACGAGCATAATTATCGGCCGAAGAAGCAACTGCACGAACTGGTTGCACATCAATGAAATACCCGTTCTCGTACACTGCTTGCAGCTAAATTTAACATCTTATTATTAGAGACGAAACAAATGATTCGTGAAACGCACACTAATGCAACAGGGCACACTAATTGTAAGCCATTTTGGTTACATCCTTTCGGTATGAGCACGAGTTTAGGCTCGAACTTACGCATAATCATACGCACAAGCTAACAAAGCGCCCTGTCTGTGGCTACTATGGTCACATGCAATTTGCCAGCCAGAACATCTTCGAGTATTACAAGAAGTATCATATGGCACTGGAAATCCTCACTGATTTCGTTCGGTCAGTGATTTGATTCCGTAACAAGAGCAACGAAAATTTTGATTGAAAACCTCGCTAATCATATAATAGCAAGTTTGTGATGATATGCAATCATTTCAAATAAAATAATGAAGGTAATTTATAAAGTGTCACTCAATTATATTCAAAACAAACTCACGCCGGCGGATTGCGCGTATGCTCGATGAACTGATAGCATGTTCAGAAAACAGAATACAAGCAGCAAAAATAACGTTCTATCTTGCATCACCTGGTTCATGAAGTGGTTCACCAGGTCGGTGCAAAAAATTAAATATTGCTCTAGGCACAATATAGATTGACAAAAACCTTTGGCATAAAAGCTTGATAAACTTATTGAACAATGCCTGATGTACAAATATGACTCCAATTATTCTCAGCAGAACTCAGCAGCGAAATTCTCAATTGATCGTCAGGCAAGCACGTGATGTGTGCGAGAAAGACTGTAGATGTCTTCCTAAATGTGTCTGGATTAGTGTGAATTAATCAGACGTATGCATATCTGTGTGTCACGTTTGTTTTCTTATCAAAAGGCGGAATAATTTGCTATTGGACACAAACGATTATTGCCTTGTCATCCACTGCAAATGACCGCATTTGCTCACATTTGCTATTGTGTTGATCAGCGATTAATTTTCTAGGTGTTTCCGTTATGAATAGAATGTGT